GCCGCCTAACCATCAGCTGCTTGCTGCCGAAGCCTGGAAGACCAAGCTCGTCCATCTTCTTGCGCATCGCTCCTTCTTTTAGCAAAGAATAATTGAGCTCCGATATTCGATCTTGCGGTCGTGGTGTGTTTCGTGCTGAAGTCCTCGAGCTACTGAGTCCACCAACGGGTGTCCGCGACTTTGCTCGTTTCTCTGCCGCTTTCTCATCCTCGCATCGGTCCAGATGTGGTTCAACCGACTCGATCTTCATGCGCTTTCCACAACCTAGTGGACATTCCACGAGACCATCATCTTGAGGTTTCTCCGGCTCAAAGCTCGCGTCCTCATCGGAGTCGTCTACTTCAATTACATCTGCCTGCGAACCCTGCGATGCGAAGGTCCGCCGGCTCTTGCTGCGCGTTGTGCGGCCTTCCCTTTCTACCGCAGCAGCTTCGTCGGATTCCAGTACTGCACGCTTCCTCTTGGTCGATTTTTTCGTATCGTCTGCTTTGTCCCGCTCTTCTCTCGCTATCTTGATCGCTTGCGGTCTTGCGACCAGGAATGTCGACACAACTTCTTGTAATTGCCAATTGTTGCGCAACTTGCTCGCTTGATCAGATGCGCGGCATGCAGGACACCGGCCATCAGCCGATAAAGACGTCCGGATACATCTTGAGCAGAAGGTGTGAGAGCACGATGTGATCATGGGCGTGTCGTAGAACTCCTTGCATATTTGGCAGTGGAGTGCGCTTTCGAGTTCGGCGACTGCAGCGAGAGGTGTGTTTAGCCAGTCCGTAGAGTCTGGTACGTCGAATGCTGAGTCCATTAGTAAGTGGTGTGTGTGAGGGTGTCGTCGTCGTCGTCTGGTGGCGTAGATTGAAGCGATCGTGCAATGCGATGCTGACGCGAGGATTGGACGCGTGAACACGTGATGAAGTGAAAGCGTTGACGTAATCTCAGATTGCTCTCGGATCGTGGCTGCCGAAAAGTGCCGCTGAGATTATGTACTGTGTACTTCCTTTCCTCCCACAGTCCTGCTCCTGAGAAACACACCATCTCCAACGTCACATCGTGCTCGGAATTCGCGCTCGGAATCCTGCCGAACATCTCGATACTTGTTGAAGATTACGAGCCATTGAATTGAGTAATCTCCTACCTAGCCCCTGAGGGATAGTGACCTAATTATACACCATGAACACGCCGACATCGGTCATGCAGGCTTACGAATAAGCGTGCTTCAACACTCCCACTTGACCGATGCCGTGTCGTGTCACCTAACTCCTAAACGCCA